GGCAGCATGATGGAAGAGATGGCCTTCGATGTCGCCTTTGCCATGATAACTATGGATGCGATGTCAGGGAACACTAGCCAGTTCGCAGCTGCTTGGGCAGCTGCAGGAGGCAACAACCAGACCTACAACTGGGATTCCATGCTGGTGGGCAACTACGCCAACACACTTCTGAACACCAGCTTCGAGTTCCCGACTTACATCCGCCACGGCTCCAGCAAGAATCTGTTCGCGAACTTGGATGACGAACATGTGACGCTTGGAGTGGCAGTGTTCGATCACCAGGGGCACTTGAAGGACACCATCCCCACTCATCATCCCTTCAAGAAGATCCTGGCTCTGACCTACTACCCGCATCCGCAGCAGATGGACATGTATGAGGCTCCAGTCGGGAACGTGACCATGACCACGCAGGCAGCCACTGGGGATCCCTTTTACCACCTCTGCGAGACCGCCAGGCTCGTTGACACAAAGTGGTTCGCTCTCACAGACAATTATCACATCATCAAAGCGCCGGTGAGCGTTCTGATGGACATGGGCGACAAGCCCGTGCTGCCGTATGTCCTGAGAAACTCCAAGTACTGTGGCGAGCGCCCCAACTGTGAGGCTTCCATGTTGCAAGCAGAGGGGCTGTTCAGCATCACTTTGAACTACCACCACGACAAGTACGAGGTGCTGTACAAGACGGATGATGCCAGGATGTTCTGTGATGCATGGGACCTTGCAACAGGCAGCACAGCGAGCGAGTCGTGGGCCAATTGCAGTCTGTCCTTCGGCCCAACTGGAGATGACTACATCGCCTGGAAGATCAGCGTGGACCAGAACATCACCGAGGAGTTCACTCCGAAGGACAAGACGCGCTACGGCTGGAGAGCCTGGACGAGCCTTTGGAATCCGGCCCCAGTTGACTCTCGCGAGTGCACGCCGATGCTCTACGGCCCGAAGGAGTATCTGGAGACGCTTGGCAACATCTCCCACTGTGCTGTTGACTACGTTGAGAATGCCGCGGCGTGTGAATCTGATACCACATGCGCGTGGAAGGCCATGTTCGAGTCCGGAGTGTGCTTTCAGGACCCGAAGATTAGCGTCACCACGACGACAACAATGGCGGGAGTGACCTACAGCACCATCGAAGTCACATTGCCGCTCACCGTGGACGATGCAGCTGCGATCCTCAACAATGCTACTGTGCAGGATGCCATGAAGCAAGGCTTTGCAACGGCGATGGAGGTGCCTGTGGAGGATGTGATGCTGGAGATTCAGGCAGCTCGGCGGTTGAGTTCTCACACGAGAAAGCTTCAGACCGAGCTGCTGGCCGTCTTCACAGTGATCATGCCCAGCCTTGAGGACGCCATCGTGAAGCAGGTGGAGATCGAGACCCTTTCCTTGGAGGCCACCAACGAGGCCATCGCGAGTGCCGTCGCGAGCACGGGCTTCTCGGGTGCCTTGGAGGTTACCGGCAAGACGACCATGCGAGTTGCGGGTCCGACCACGACAACCACGACGACCACAACGACACAGGCCGGCAACACCACCACTACCGAGGGCGGTGATGACGGCGATGCGGGTGACGACGGGGACGATGGTGACGATGGCGACGAGCAGCCGCCCAGCTCGGCAATCGCGGGCAGCGCCTCCGCTGCGGTGCTGGGACTGGCTGTCGCTCTCTTGGCTTGATTTTAATTTGTGGTGCGGAATGCAATGGCATTCTGCATCTGCATTTTCCACACAGCTTGATCCATGCTGATCCTGAGCATGCGCAGCAACATTCAAACGCAGCTGACATCTGGTGGCCCAGGCCAAGCAATTCATTCACATTGACTTTCCGATGCTACTGAGCGCAAGCTTAGACTACGCCACATGAGCATCGGCACGTGCTGGCATGGCGCAGGAGTGTGCCGAACAAGACGCACCGGCACGTCCCTTCAGGATTAGGCTCTGACGTGACGGAACTGCAGACATCGAAGATGAAATAGAATGCCTTTCCCTTTGATACGTTGAGTTAGGGAATGGAGGTCGGCGCTCTCACAATCCACTCCTCCTGTACCTGGTTGATAGTTGGTTGTGGTCCTGTCTGTAAGAGGATTGTGCAAGCCCTTGACCTTGGCAAGCTTAACATCTCTGAACCTCGAACGAGCTCCCTGCAGTGCGACCTAGCCATGCACCTACGTACGTATGTTCCTACCTACATGTATACAAAGCCACATATCTCCATACGTACTTCTGTGCTTGCATACATGTGTACATACATACATGCATACATGTGTGAATACATACATGCGTACATACATACATACATACATACATACATACATACATACATACATGCATACATACATACATACATACGTGCATACCTGCGCGCATGCATGCGCATATTGTTTTTATGCACAGGTACACACACAGATACCTACATAGGTGCATGCAGGGCTATATACTTTACAGCGGTACACATACATGCACACACACAGGTTGCATAGTCGTACATGAAGAGGAAACGGCAGTATTGGGCACTGATGGCAGTGGGGATGCTGTGCGATGATGGCCATCGTACTTATCATCCTCATCATGCTGTCATCGCAGCTGTCACCTATCACCAAATGGCAAACCTGTCTCAAACGATTAGGGTAGTGTGGGGACATCCGAACGTATTTTCGCAGCTTTTCGCATCTACATTGCGTGTGGTGTGCAAACATGCGTGTGCAAGCACGCGCCACTACTGTACCTTGGTATCAGACTACCTCTTGAAAACATGGATACACACACACACACTCACTCACTTGCACATGCACGCAAGCAGTCGGACGGACGGACATGCAGCATGCATATATACAAAGAATACTGACAAGCATTCTGACGCGTGGCTCCGTGGTGCTGTTGGCACAGTATGTTGCTTGCAGATATGCTTGCCCGCATGCGTGCCGGTGTGCATACGTGTTCTTTCGTCATGTTGACAACAAGCGGTTCTATCTATCCATCCATCTATCTATCCATCTAGCCATTTATCCATCTACTGTATCCATCTATCCATTCATCATCCATCCATCCATCTATCTATCCATCTACTCCATCCATCCATCCATCCATCCATCGATCTATCTATCTATCTACCTATCGATCTATTTATCTATCTATCTATCTATCCATCTATCTATCTATCTATCTTTCTCTGTTAGTTCTTACACATGTTATGCATTGGTGCTAGCTCGTTGGCATCAGCAGGCCTGTGCAGTTTTGCCTTGCTCTTCTGTTATCCGGCTTGGCAGGCGCACGAGAGAGGAGCTTCTCTGGCAGAGTTGTCCGAAGTTGTGCTCTTGGGGTTCAGGGTTTGGGGGTTCCAGTGCCATGAGCGGCGGAGAGTGCTTTTGTCTTGCTTGGCGTTCCGTTGCCCATGCCAGGTGAACTGCGACATCCTTATCGGCCTGTTGTCGCGCGCGGTGCAGCGCCGGCGGAAGGACTACGAGGAGGTGCTGGAAATCAACCCGCGCACTACAAGAACTTTTGGCTTCAGTTCTCCTGCATTGCGCCAAGTGTTTAAATCTCTTCGGTTGGAGGCCGTGGCAGCCAACCGAAGGAACGCGGCCAAAGGCGCGACAGGTGCAAGAGAACAGAAAAACCCCCGGTGGGCCGGTGGAGTGATGCTTCTTTGGCAGGCACGCAGGAGTCGCAGATCCCAAGCCCTCCCTTGAAGCTAGCTGGGATCTCGGCTCTGAGGGCTTAAAATCCGGAGCTTCCCCGGCTTCTGCCGAAGGTGATCATGTCTGCGACCTTGCGACTTTGCGATTTCACTGAAAACCAGCAGTCGCACCCTCAGGCTACGTACAGTTGTCCATTCCATTCAGGGACTCAGATGACTGATTGAATCAAGGCTTTTTCCAATGCCTCCTCCGGTGCTGCGTATTGATGCTCGCACATTTCCGGTCCCTTGTGCGGCAAAGGGGTTTCTGTGTTCTGCTGCGACCATGAAAGCATCATCATTGCATGAAGCCAAGTGAAAGCAGTCAGGTCACTGTCCATTTTGCACGAAGAACAGATGATGACTACATCAAGGTGGATCAGGGTGCTTCCACATCCAGCTGAGAGCGCTTCTTCTCTACTTCTGTGTTCGCAAGCGGAGGAAGACACGGAGAGAGGGAGAGCGAGTTGCCAACCAAGATTTGGGGTTGAGAGGTCGGCGCAGTCAAGACGTGAATGGCCACGGATTAGATTTTGAAGCTCGTGACGACTTCCACCGGGATGGTCCATGCCTTGTAAGACCCTCTTTGCCTCTGCCTGCACTGTGTAGCAGTGTAGTCAAGATCCCGAGATACGAACCAAGTAGCTTACGTGAGCACCGGAAACCGTGTTAGACTGCAGCCATGACCGCGAACAACTTCCATGTGTGCAGCACCTGCTGTGGGACTCTATTGGCAGCCTTGCAGATTCTTCTGCTGGTCGTGCCGCTGCAGAGTTCGAGCACAGCCGACACTTTGACCTGCAGCTTTGAATCTGATACATGCTTCTGGGAGACTTACGGCTTCTCGGCCTGGCAGCGACAGTCCGGGCAGTACCGTCCTTCATTTGGGCCGCATGGGGCATCAGAGGGGCAGTGGTTTTTGAGACTGACTGCAAGCCTGCAAAACATCCCCTTGAAGGACTTCGAAGCTGTCAGCGGTTTCTTCGAGAACAAGGACGGTTCGCTCGAGCAGTTGCTCTTCGACTATTACTTGTTCCACCAAACCCCCCATGATATGGGCAGCCTCGTGCTGCAGTTTCTGGATGGCGCCAATTTTGCTTGGATGGATTTGTGGTCCGCAAGCAGCGTGGAAGGCCTAGGCTGGGTACCGGCAGCTGTCGACTTACCTGCCCATGCCGTCCGGGTACGCTTCATCGGCACCACTGGCAAAAGTCCTTATACCAGCATCGGCGTGGATGCCCTGCGCGTCAACGTGCTCGCAGCCACTTCTTCCACAAGCCTGGATGCAGTGGGCACGACATCCACTGCCCCAACTTTGACATCGACGGCGGGCACGACATCCACTGCCCCAACTTTGACATCGACGGTGGGCACGACATCCACTGCCCCAACTTTGACATCGACGACGATTGTCCCAGGCTACGAGGTGCTGGGCTGCGACTTTGAGGACGACAGTTGTGGTTGGGTCTGCCAGAGCTTCACCGGTACCATTGTCCCTTTCCAGTTGCTTGACCACATCGACGGCTGGTGTATGGCCTACTATGATTCGAACGTGCGCATGACCCCGTGTCACGCGTCCAGCGATGTGCAACGGTGGTACATGCTGAATGGCGGCTACATTAAGCTAAGTGTTCGCCTCTACGATTGCCTGGACCAGGACATCCACACAGGAAATCTGCAGCTTTGGACGTGCCACGGCGGCACGAACCAACAGTGGTACCGGGATGACGCACTGCGACTCCGCAGCCTGCATGACCACCGCTGCGTGGAGCTCAACAGGGATAGCCACAACCTTGTGCTGAGCAGTTGCACCAGTGCGAGCACCCAGAAGTTCAACACTGTAGAGCTTCCTGATGGCGTGGTCACCCCAAGCTGCGCCTGGAATCAAATCAGCGGTTCGACACCGAGCGCGCACACAGGGCCGTCAGCTGCTTTTTCGGGCTCGAGTTACATGTATCTGGAGGCCAGCGGTTGGAACCATCCCAGCCAGGAATTCACACTGGAGAGTCCGGTCTTTGAGGAGGGCAACGGCTTCTCCAGGTGGGTGTACTTCAGCTACCACATGTACATCGATGCCATGGGCAGCCTAAAGCTTCAGTCTTACAATGGAACGAATTGGACCACGGAGTGGGCTTTGTTCGGCGACCAGGGCGATGCCTGGCATCAGGCCTTCGTTGCTTTGCCAGATAGCACGCAGGCGGTCCGCTTCTTGGGCAAAACTGGAGGTACTTTTCGCGGAGACATAAGCCTGGATGCGGTGGGCACGTCCAGCTCGTCCTCTACGTTCACAACGTCAACCATGACGACTACGACCTTGACAACCACATTGCTTGACTTCAGTGAGATGGCTTGTGGCTTCGAAGCTGGCCTGTGTTTCTGGGCCGGGAGCGAGGCATGGCTGACCACGGAACAGCCCGTACCATCGCTCCAGTCGGGTCCCAATGCCGCCTTTGAGGGAAAAAGGTATGTATTTCTTCGGGCCGAGGGCAACCTTCCTGAGAAGGAGTTCTTCTTGGAAAGTTTTGGCTTTCTGAATTCCGCTGGTGCGCTCAGACACATGCACTTCAGCTATTTCTTATTCCGCCTGGACTCGGGGTCACTGATTCATGACGTTGGCAGCCTGACGCTGCAGTCTTGGGACGGGACGTCGTGGATCGACTTGTGGACACCAGGGGTTGCTCAGGCCACTCAGTGGCAGCGAGCTGTCGTCCCGGTCCCTGCAAAGGCGAGTCGCTTGCGCTTCCGCGCGGTCACAGGGACCACTGTTTACAGCAACATCGCCCTGGACGCTGTGGCGACTACTTTGCCTGGCTATGACGTCTTGGATTGCGGCTTTGAGACGGACACTTGTGGCTATTATGCAGCCGCCGCGGGCGAAGCGTGGCTGCGACAAGCTGGCCGAACGCCTTCCTCGTTCACGGGGCCATCGTCTGCGAGCGAGGGACAGTACTACATGTTCGTGGAGGCTTCTGGAAGTGTGGCCAAGACCTTGATTCTGGATAGCCCTTTCTTCACACAAGGTGACGGAGAGTGGATGGTCTTGTCGTTCAGCTACCATATGTACAGCCTTGTTAAGGGCACTATGGGCAGCCTGGAACTGCAACACTACAATGGGGAATGGGCAGTTCTGTGGTCTGTATCCGACACGCAGGGTTTCATGTGGCACCGAGTCAATGTAAGCCTGCCAG